CCCCCCCCACTTGGGACACCCTGTAGGTAAGATTATTTACCTCAGCTAACGCTAGTGCATACTTCCAGAGTGTATTTTACATTTCTCCTCAGGTTCATTTCTATGCTTCCCTGAGTGTATTCTTGGTTTTGCCTCCCTGTATTTCTGTTTGATAGGCTTGTTTATTTGCCAGGCTGCCGGGCTTACAGGGGGCAAGTTGTTGTTGGTGGTGGTGGTGGTGGTGTTTGTGTCTGTGACAGTTTTACAGTGTGGTGTTGTTATTATATTAGTTATGCAACCTTTAGTGTACCAGTAGCTTTTCAATTTATCACCAGCAATCCAAATGAACCTTACTAGAAAATAAACAATTACTATTTGTTCCCCCAGACTTACGTCTGTCACATATTTGGTGCCAGCCTTGCTAGACCAGATTTATTTCCCCATTTTCGTAACATCGATCCAATCTGATTCAGAAATCCAAGAGGCAACAAACCAATGCAATCCAAAAAAAAAGAGGCAAAAACCTAATACAATACATGAGTCCAAGAGGCAATAATCCAATACAGTATAGTTCAATCTAATAAGCCAAGATTTAATCATCGGATCTAAAAACCCAGTCCAACTATCCAATACAATGCAATGCAATCCTATAATGCAGTCCAATCCAAAACTCTGAGGCAATAATCCAATCCAGTTCAATAAATCCTAGATTCAATAATCCAGTCCAAAAATCCAATTCAGTAATCCTACCTTATCCGATAAATGAATACACTCCAATCCAGTCAGCCTATACAATGCAATCCAAAAATCCAATCCAATAATCCAGAAGCAATAATCCAATGCAATACAATCCCACAGTGCAATAATCCAAACTAATAATCCAATATTCAATAATCCAATAAACCATTCCAATCCAGTAATCCAGTAAAATCCAATAATCCCATCCGATCCACCTATACACTCTTAATATAATCTAATCCAATTTATTCAAATAATGCAAAAAAAATACAATCAAATCTGATAATCCAAGATTCAATAATCCAATACAAAAATCCAATCCAATAATTCCATCCAATCCAACTATCCAATACAATTCAAAAAAAGTCCAATGATCGAATGCACTCCAAGAATCTAGTCAAATCCAATATTCCAAGAAGCAAAAATCCAGAGAGCTAATCCAAGAGGCAATAAACCAATCAAAAACCAAAATATCCAATAATCCTATCCTATGCAATAAACAAATACAATGCAATCCAATAATCCGATCCACCTACACAACCCAATCTAATACAATCCAATAATCCAGTAAACTGAGAGGCAATAATCCAACTCAATAGAATGCGATTCAATCCAATAGATCATTCACATAATCCAAGCCAGCAAACACCTCACCTTTTCTGCAACCAGTTACCAGGATGTGGCTGCTTCTACTCCTCCAAAGCTGCTTGTGGCACCTGCAAAACAAAAAGAAAAAGGCTCATGCTGAGATACTGCCCAAAACCACAGCCACCCTGCATCCCTTGCCATCTCTCAATCCTTTACCTCAGTTGCTTGCCTGCCTTGCCCCTGCCACTTTCATGTCACCAGAGTCAGGCTTGAGCCCCACCTGTAAAACACACACAAGGGAAGGTCACAACTGCACCCACAATGTGACATCTGAAAAATAAACTGATACTTCAAAGCACCAGTCACGGCTCACCTTGCTCGAGTTGCCTCCTGCACCAATATCCTGCTTCGCTCACCGCTTTGCACCTGCAGAATAGAAAAGATCATCCAAAACCTAGAGGCTAATCATAAAGCGACCAGTCACATCTTCCCTCCAAAGACAAGGGCTGACCCTCCTTCTCACAGTGCTCAGCTCCCCGCCTCTCCACTGCTGCTAGCACAGAGCTCATCACTCTACCTCTGGAAAAAGCAATCTCAAACAAGTCACCTGGATGCTGAGGCAAAAACCCAACCATGCAATAATCCAAGAAAAAGTAATTCAATCCAATAATCCGAGAGAGAATACTCCAATCAAATCCAATACATTAATAGAAGAGGCAGTAATTCAATACAACACAATGCAAAGCAAGAGGAAATAACGCAACACAAAAGGCAATAATACAATACAACAAAAAGCAAAGCAAGAAGCACTGATAAAGGAGGTAATAATACAACACAATACAAAGCAAAGCGAGAGGCAATAATACAAGAAGCAATAATGCAATACAAAACAATAGGCAATAATACAAGAGTCAATAATTCAATACAACACAACACATAACAAGAGGCAGTAATCCAATCCAGTCCAATCATCCAAGAGGCAATAATACAATATAATAACAGATTAATCTGCGAGGCAATAATACAATGCAATGGAATGCCAAACAGGAGGCAATAATTCAAAGCAAGAGGCAATAATTCCATGCAATCCAATCCATTGCAAAGCAAAAGGCAACAATCCAATGCCATAATCCAATCCAAGAAACACCTCACCTTTTCTGAGCCCTAATAAGGACTACTTTAATGGTGCTCAACCACAATCCTACAAAGTCTTTATTGCCTCTCTGATCAAACGATTGCTGTTACACACTCTTAACGCAAACTTTTTGTAAAACCACTTAAAAGTTTAGCAATTCAGCATAAACACGATTTGCAGATCTTCAGGCACAGGTTCACAGGCGCTACAGTGAATCTTTTCCACCCCGCGGGCTCTCAGTAGCGGCTCAGGCGATGCCTGCGCAGACGAAACTTTCCCTCTTCGCGGCAGCGTCCTCTGCAATTCCCCTTCCTCGTGCAGCGATGGCTCCGAAAGAGCTGCAGTACCGCGCTTTGGCCACCGGGTGGCAGCACGAGCACTGCGGGACCGCGGCGGAGGAGCTGCAGTACCGACATTTGTTCGCCAGGGGGGGACCGGCAGGGACCGCGGCGAGTCCTGCCACTGCGCATGCGCGCATTCGGAACAATAGGCGGCAAAGCGCAGCACTGCGCATGCGCGGCGCCTAGGGCGCAGCGTGACTTCTCACCCCTGCAGCATTTGCAGGAGGGGCGGTTGTCTCTGTCCCGGACCTTTTCGTCCCAGCCGCGGACGAACACTACTAACTGGGCTGACAGAGCTTAAATCCGCTCCGGCTTTGCTGACACCCACGCGTTAACACCAAGCGGTGCTGCTCAAACTGCCAGCGTTTCACACCACATTTTCCCTAAAAGCGAGGGGGAAAGGGTGCTTTGCGGTAATAAAGGGGATTTTGCTTTTCCAAAAATACTGAGGGGTTTTCAGCACTTTTCTACAACATAACTTCCGACTCCTGTTTCTGGTTTTGTGCATGAAAAGGGTTGGGTTTGGTTTGTTTCGGGTTTTTTTGCACTAATTCAGGCAGATTGGATCTTCCCTGGTCATGCTGGTTCCTTTAATCATCTCATGCTGCTCTGTCACCTGCAAAAACAAAACACAAAGCTGCTCAATGGCCACTGCACCGGTGGCTGCGAGTGCAGAGCACAGCAGTACGAAAGCAGGACATAGCCCAGCAATGCGACAGATTCAAACACAGGGCGATACCTCACAAAACCGATACGGAGACAAACGATGTGATACAAATTCACACACAGAGCAATGTGATACAAAACACGAGGACACTCAATTCTGTACCTTCTCATGTGCAAGTGCTTTTCCACCATATTAGTTCTGACTTCTGCTCCTGTTTTGATGTGTGAAAAGGGCTGTGGTTTTGGGATTTCTTTTTTTCTTGCTTTCCAGTTGCGCTGTTACAAGGGGGCTCAAGCAGGAATACACTCAAGGATGGTTTCTCTATAATTGAAGCCAACTTAGTATTTGGAGCCGAAACAGCCTGGCACACTGATATGTCCTGGTACATTTTAAAGTGCTGCAGATAGACTAGGAGACACTGGTTGATAAGGGAAATTAAGGAATTAATAAAGTTTAAAAAGCCGAAAAACATTAAGAGTGCCTCTTCAGATCCACCAGGGACCACCGAAACACCCCGTGCAGACTCCTTGTATGCAAGCGCAGTAGATTCGAGAATGATTAGCAAATATTTAAATACATTATATTTAAATTGCAACCAATCATTGTAACTTAGATTCCAGAATGATTCCAGAATCCTGGAACTTCTGTGTATAAAAAACTGACCACACTCATGCAAGCTTGGAAGGAACAAATAACGCCCCTCACACCTGACATCGAACCAAGAATGCCTGCTTCTTAATGCTACATTGGCCTTAGGAGGGTTTTCTATTCCCGAGTTTGGTGACAGCACCAATCCAGGCCAATGGGACTGTCCCAGGAGCCCCAAATTGTTGGGGTTGTTTTCCCCTTCCCCAGCTGTACACCCACAACATGTCCTCCCCTATGAACCTCCCCAAAACACCCCCATTCCCCACTCACCTGCTCCTCCACTGCATCATCACTGCCCCCTCAATGACTTTCGGGTGCCCCAAAGCTGTCTGGGTGACATCGTCACACCCCCAGACCTCCCTGAGGTCGTGTATGCATCCCCTTCTTATTCACCCCAAAATAGACACAAAACAAGGGACGTTACCCAACCCGCAGCTCAGTACTTTAATAAATGCCACTGACACACGTGCACACCCCACCAAAAAAGGTTTCTCTTCTACGCAATTATTTATACGCTGCCTTCCCCTGCTGCGTTTCTTGGGTATTGTGCAGTATTTTCATTGTTCATGAATAAATGCATTTGAAGAGTTTTTACTATGACTGACTTCCATTACTTTTAGTTTGAAAGAAAACCAAGAAAACACTATACAGGAGGTAATTCCATTTTAATAGTCTCTGAATTTTCAACATTTGAAAGGAAAAATAATAGGTTAAGTACAGGAATATATGCAGGCATTACCAATAGAAGCAGCATTAGTAAGCTTCTCAATATTGATTTTTGGTATTTCGTGGGGAAAAACACTGAGCCTAAGATTTCTCATCTTCAGCCCCCCTCTCTTCTTTGGGGGCTATGGGAAGAAGGAACCTGACTCTTAAACAACTGGTTGAGAATCACAGCTTACAGTTACTCAATGTCTTCTGGTCTCACAGGATGAGGCAGAGGTATAATTGACTTCTTCTCCATATCTCTAGAAAGAGCTTTTCTCATATCTGTGGCAAAAGAAAAAAAACTATTCTAATAAGACAGCCATTGCACAAAGCCGTATTATGTGAATTCTCTATTACAATAAGACCATTTTTAATCAGGAACATTTCCTAGAACCACAGAATATCTCGAGCTGGAAGGAACTCGTACGGATCATCATGTCCATTTCCCTGCTCCTCACAGGTCAACCTAACATGAAACCAAGGCCCAAGAGCAGCCTCCAGGTGCAAATTTAGCTCCGATGGGTTCGGTGCCACAACCACTTCCCTGGGACCAACCACCCCCTCAGTGAGGAATTTTTTCCTGATGTCTGACCTGAGCTCCCCTGACCCCACTGCATCCTGTCCCTGTGCTAGCCAACAGAGAGGAGAGCAGCACCTCCCCTCCACTGCCCTCCTTCAGGAAGGTGGAGACAGGGACAGGGCCACCCCTCGGCCTTCTCCAAGCTGAACAAGCCAAGTGACCCCAGCCTTCAAGACCTCTCACCATCCCAGTCACCCTCTGAACAGCCTGATGTCCTTAATGCTGTTCAGCAGCAGCGTTACTGACTGGAACGTAACACTGCATGAAACTCAACTGAATGGAAAGGAAATGGCAGGTGAAAGGGACAAATGTGTTATCTAAGGCAGCTGCAGCAATGGTAGATGTCTGTGCGTAGCCCCTGTGTTTCGTAGTACTCCTGCACATCAAATGAACTGTGCAAGAACAGCCAAGATACGCAGCATGGCCAAGTAACACTTTGGGGAGGACATTTAAAGGAAAAGTCTAGAAAGAAGAAGCCGCTGGTACTTCAGTTTTGTTAGCAAAAATAACATACTTCAATTTCCACATTCCTTCCTCTTTAAATTGGAAATACCACCCAATTCTCTGCCACTGTTGACCATTAACACTTGCAAATTTGTAGTTAAACAAGTTAGAAAAATTACGTCAGAAACTGCATTTTATTTTCATCTTATCTACAGGATAAATGTCCTTGTACTTACTAAGTTACTCTTGTTTTGTAGTCTAATTTGCCACAGATGCTACAAAATACGTAAACTGCAAGATTAAGTTTTGTGACTGGTGTAATCTTCAGTAGAAAAAGCCACCTAGAGTATCCAAAGTCCCATCAACAGCTGACCTTCAACAACTTTCTGAATTCGTTTCATGTTAAGGTAATATAAGTGTACAAACAAGGCCAGGAACCCTCAAGGCGAGTCTCCCCACGCACCCTGCGGCAGGACAAGCACTTACCGTAAGCGTCTTCATCTGGCTCTCCGCTGCTGGCAGAGTAGTACTCTAACACGGTCCGGTACACGCTGTAGCCCAGTTGCTTATACATATTCACCGCAACCTGATTTGATACTCTCACAAAGAGATCCACGAAAAATCCACCCTTTCTTTGAAAAAAATAAAAGAACACAGTAAGGAATAGCAGGTGAAGGTATTTCTAAATAAGAACCCACAGCTGGTGATCAGACCAAGAGCAGGTCTGATGGCGTGGTACACTCGAACACCTTTTACACTGCAGGAACAGACGCACTCCTTCACCAAGGGACAAAGCCAATACAGCCATAGGTTTTACTTTAGTCACACAACCATTCTTTTCTTATACACCAGCCACAGGTTCAGAATTATGAACAGAAAGAACAGGACAAGCAAAACCATCCCCACAGGCCTCATATCCATAAGAAATTAATTTAAAAAGAAAAAAAATCCACATTTTAGACTGCATTGGCTTAGGGGCTGCCTTCTTCCAAGTGCATGGGGGTGGGTGGAATTGTTCCAGAAGCTGATTTTAAACTTAGATATCTACTGAAAGCCTCTATGTTTGAATTTTATGGAAATCAGTAATCTTAGGAGTGTAATGTTAGTAATCTTATGTATTCGCTATTGTGTTTAGTAAGTTTGCTTTAGGAGATTAATGAAACTCATTATGGAAACCAGTTATGCTGCTTGGGGACCCCCTCCCTGCCCTATCTTGATTTGAATATTAAGAATTCCAATCAGTAGTAATCCGTGATTGTATCAGAAACAAGGAAAAGCTAGAAACTATAATCTATAAAGTTGTGATATGAATATAGGAAAAATAAATGTACAAAATCTCTTTTTGAGATGTTAAAGCTGCTAATGAACCTATGCATAGCCTAGGCCCTATTTTAATTACTTTGTTTTATCCACTAGAAATACATCTACCTACAAGTATAGGAGATATATATATATATGAGGATATAACGAGGTGGATGGA